CCCCACTGTGGGCGCAGCGAGAACCTTCTCGTTTCAATCTCTGCCCACAGCAGCCCACCACAAGGCCCGTGGGTGAACAAGGTTTGGTGCCCCCTGCCTCGTAAGGCCTCCACCTCTCCAAACGGTCTGCGCCATCCCTTCCCCATCGTCAGTGCTGCCCCTTTCCCTCCTCCTGGGTGTCCAGGCGTCAGCCGGTTGGTCCCTGTTGCCCCATCCATTAGCTCACACTCTCGCTGAGGGGTGGGGGTCCTCCCTCGGGTGGGCCCTCGCACCTGGCCCACCTCTGCAATGCGGTGGGGGAGAGGGTCCTGGGCCAGGCAGGTGGGGGCGACGGGCGTGGAGTCCAGAGGCCGCGCCCCCGGCCTTCGCCCCTGCGTGCCCTGCCCCATACTTACCCTGGCGCAGAGATCGGTCAGCCGACCCTCCGCTCCGCATCCATTAGCGGGTGGTCTGGCCGCTTCACTTCCGGAGCGCGGGGCTCTAGGCGGCGGGGCCTTCCCCTCACTACCCGGAGCTCGGCTCCCCTCCCCTCCCCTGCGCCGCGCCGCGCCCCGCCCCCGCCCCGCCCGCGCCTCCCTCCTCCCGCCGCTGCCGGGAACTGGCAGCCTCTCCGCTCCCGCTGCCGCAGCGGCCGCCCTCCCAGACCCAACTTTGCTGGTCGCTGGAGCCGGAGCGGCGGCGGGGGGCGTGGGCAGGGAGGGGAGAAAGCGGGGTCAGAGGGAGGGACCGGGAGGGGTGGGTCGCTCGCTCGCTCGCTCGCCAGCCCTCCTTCCTTTCTGTACACCTTGCGGCAGGCAGAGAGCGGCAGCCGCGGCAGCAGCCAGGGGGTTTGTGCACAGAGAGAGGCCGACTTAGGGACCGGCAGACGGACGGACGGACAGAGCGGACCCTCCCCGAGCTCCCGCGCCATGGCCGAGAGGAAGCAATCCGGGAAGGCGGCAGAGGACGAAGAAGTCCCTGCCTTTTTTAAAAACCTGGGCTCAGGCAGCCCTAAGCCCCGGCAGAAATTCTGTGGCATGTTCTGCCCGGTGGAAGGGTCCTCCGAGAACAAGACCATCGATTTCGACTCGTTGTCCGTGGGCCGGGGCTCGGGGCAGGTGGTGGCTCAGCAGCGGGACGTCGCCCACTTGGGCCCGGACCCGCAGCCGCCGTACTCCCGGCAGGGCCGGCGCGCCGGCGGGGAGCCATCTGTTGAATCGAGCCGGAAGGTGGAGATCCGGCGGGCCTCGGGCAAGGAAGCCCTGCAGAACATCTACGACCAGGTTGGTATGGGGGGTGGGGGCTGTTTGAGACTCAGGACCAGACGCGGGGATCGCCCCTCCTTCGCCCCCTTTCCAGCTCGGTGGAGAACCGGTCATCCCAGCGTGCCCACCGTCCTGCCTCGCAGGAATATTGCATCCTTGAATCTGTACATGCACCCCGCCCTACTTGCCCCTTCTCGGTGCAGGGTGCCCAGAGGCTCGGGCTCGGCCGTGGGCGGCTGTGCGCCCACAAAGGCTGCCCGCGCCTCCCTCGGCCTGGGAGGTGGGGGGCGGGGGTAAAATATGAACCGATGCCGGGTTGGGGGGCGCATGGTAGTGGGGGGAGGGAGGCATGAACCGATTCCATTCTTCTTAAATCCTTCCGGGCGGCTTCCGATTGCAGTTGTGGCTGGGTGCCCCACCCTTTTTTGATGCATCTCGGAGCGTGCAGTGGAGGGTTCGCGTGCAGGCCCGAAAGCTCCCCGGGGTTCGGGAGGGGCGGGGGCTTCGACAGCCTCTCTCCGCCTCGCCCTGCTCGCTCTCGCACCGTCTCATCTCCGGCGCCCTCGGTGCTCCAGTCCTGAGCTCGGAGGCCAGGACCATGGTCAGCGCCTCCGCGCTCCGCCTGGGAGGATCTCACCGCCCTGACTCCTGCTCGCCGCGTGAAAAGGGGGAGGTTGTGGAGTCACCCAAGGAAACCGAGACGCTCGTAAATAGCCCATGTGGAGAACAAAGTTCCGCTAAGTATCTCAGCAAGGGCTTCCCAGAGCGCATCCCCTACCCCCGCCGCTATTTGGGAGGTGCTTTGGGGATGGAGACTTAGTGGTTTATGTTCAAAGGGTGAAAAGAAAAGAAAAGGGAAAAAAATCCCTCAACAGTTTGAATAGATTGCCAAAGATGCATTAGACCCCCTATACGTGTTAATGGAGAAACAAAGAAGACCAATTTGGCAAAATATAGAAAATATTCGTTATCTCTGGCAATTATGAACAGTGTGCATTTTAAGTACTGTAGTCTTCTCGCACCACATTTTTTCTTTATCAGGGTGACCTTCACACTTGTGCATTTTCCCTCCACATCCTTAATTTCTCAAGCGATAAATTCCAGTGTGAAATGTTTCAACACTTGTTTTTTGTTTCTCTCCCATGCCCACTGGTGAAGATGAGAAATCAGTCAGTGATTGATTATTGAATACCTATTGTGTGCCTTGCCTTTTGGGGCAGGGAGAATGTTAGCTATAAAAAGTTCAAGGTGATTTCTTCTTAAGGGGCTTTCAGAGTCATTGGGAGTGGTCTATGCATATTCACTGAGCAATTCCACAAGCATTTACTTGATATTCAGGTTGTGTGCTGACGGTGAACGCATGGAGAACAATTAAGAGTTGGAGATAATGGCCAGAACGTTTCCTGACCTAGCACAGAATTTTGCAGCTTTTGACATTTATTGTACCAGTTCTAGGAAAGATAAGCCATTTACTGTCATTTTCAAAAGGTGGGGCAATTAATTACTTGAGTCCTCCTCCCTCGGCTCTGTCCTCTGATATCCATATTTCACTATGAGTCAACCTGAAGCACTTAATCCAAATAACTCACTTGAATCCCAGTGATCAGACAACTGAAGCAAAAGTTTCGAATAATGTAAGTTTTGCTGAAAGGTGAGTGAGTGTGAAATTCTTTTCCATGTGAATACATTGGATGAGAGCCAAACCATGATCATAATGCATAAAACATGGTTGTGTGAGTATTCTTATCTTCAACAAGTTGTGCTGGTAATTCTAATGTTCTAAAGGGAGCAGAAAAATGCCTTGAGATAAGGGAGGGATTATTTAAAAAAAAATGGCTGATTAGGGGGCAGAGGTTGAGAATGGCCCTCCTTATAATGATGGCAGTGAATTAAAACTCACGTTTGAAAGGCAAAGTTTCACTGGGTTGAATAACACATCTCTTTTCTTGTCCATTTAGAACCCTAGATGTTTGATTATGAGCTTCTTGTTTGAACACTCCCTGATTTTGTGTTGATTTTATTTGTTTTTAAGAGAGAGAGAGAGAGCACAAGCGTGTGTGTGTGTGTGTGTGTGTGTGTGTGTGTGTGTGTGTGTGTAGCACAGAGAGAGGGAGACACAGAATCTGAAGCAGGCTCTAGGCTCTGAGCTGTCAGCACAGAGCCCGAAGCGGGGCTCGAACTTGTGAACGGCGAGATCATGACCTGAGCCGAAGTTGGACACTTAACCGACTGAGCCACCCAAGTGCCCCAAACACTTCCTGACTTTAGTAAAAATTCAAAATTGTAAACCTAGTGTGCATGGAAGAGGAGATTCGAAGAGGACATACCCAATCAAGACCCCAGCCACTTTTGGCCTCTGCAAACCCACATTTGCTCTAGTTGCCCAGTTTTTAGCAACAGAGGGTGATTCTGGCTTATTTTTTTTTTTGTGCAGCTTCTCCTGAATTTTCACTCAGTCTTTCCTTATCACATAAGGGATTATTTTCACTCATGATTAAGAGCACTTACCAGGATCAGTACTAACAGGGGTTGAATATTTCATGTCTATATAAGAGAGAAAAGGTGTGTGTGTGTGTGTGTGTGTGTGTGTGTGTGTGTGTGTGTAATAATGGTGATTTTAAAAGCACTGTTGGGCCCATGATTTTGATTGACTCGAGGAGTCATCACTTAATGTTCAGCTAATGAGCAACGTGACTGCCAGCATCTCAGTGCATTCCTGTCTGAAGCCCTGGCACACAGAGAGGAGGAGAGTGAGTGGACCCCAGGGCCCCTGACCTGCATCCACCCTCCTCCCCTGAATCTGCATTTATAAGGTATTGTTAATGTATGGTTGGTTAGAAGTGGCTTTGCCCACCTGTCACACTAGGGGGACTGTTGTTCCCCTAGCAAGGTTTTGGGAAATGAGGGAACAGACAGCCCTCGCCCAGATGCCATGTGGCTTGTGGGAGATGAGTGTCTGCGTTTGCATTTAGAGGTGTTAGCAGGTAAGGCCCAGAAAAAAATGGGTGTGGCTTTGGTTGGGATGTTAGGTCTTGGTGAAGGGTAGGAGCCTATGTAGTGAATATGAGTGAGGAAAGCTACCTCTTTACTCTGTTTTCCTTTGTGTCCTTGGGAAGGTCCACGTTGGGCTCCAATGAGGTTAAATTGATTAGCACCTATGAAGGACTCTGAGCCTCTTGGAAGAGAGAGAAGGGCACTATTGGTCTAATTCCTCCTCGCCAGTGCCCAGGGGTCCCTCAGTCTCCTCCCCTCCTCTTAAGAATTCCCTCTATTCCACCTCAGACACAGTTTAACCAAGGCTGCTGGATGGTGAGCCTCCCTTTCAAAGGAGCTCCCAGGCCCTTCTTTCTGTGGCAAACCCATGTGGACTAGAGTGGCTGGGGAATGATTCTCCATTTCTCCAGGGCAGATGCCAGTGTGTGAACTATGTAAGAGTGCTGCTGAACTTGACAAAATTCCTATCTATGAAATGTTTCTGATATTCCCTTTCATTGGGTGTCCCTCTGTCTCCTCTCCCCAGGTTGATTAGCTTCAAGCCCTGGGTGCCGTCTGCTGCCCTCTTATTGTTTTTTGTTTTTGTTTCTGTTTTTTGCTGCCCTCTTATTGTTCAATGCCGTTGTTCCCCCATTCTGATGGTGACGCCCATTCTAGATCTTTCTTCCTCCAACCAACGGGTTCTGAAATCACTCTTCTCCTTTGCCCTCTCTTCTCTTATTCAAAAATCCCTTCCTTGTGTTTATCTTAGAGAGAAATCCCAATGATGAACGCTTCCATCTGTTATGTGAATGACTGATACATAAGCTGTCCTCAGAGATACTTGTTTGGTAATAGACTAGCCCGTTCAATGAAATGAACATATAGGTAGCCAAATATATGGTAAAGATTTGGCTGGAAGCCAAGAACAAGGGCATTCATTGATACTTTAGAGGTCACATTGTGTCAAAAGAGCAACACAAATAGGAATATTTGTTCAGGATTCCAAGCCCAAGACCCATCTGGCCTTAAAGGGAGAGGAGTGCTTGGGGAGGAGGAGGATATGGTGAGAATTCACACTTATTGGTTGCCCTTGAGTTGCCAAGTGATTATTGAACTAATCATGTAACTAGTTAAACTAAAAAAATAATTGTGGGTGTGCTTGGGTGGCTTAGTTGATGAAGTGTCTGGTTCTTGATCTCAGCTCAGGTCTTGATTCCAGGGTCATGAGTTCAAGCCCTGCATTGGGCTACATGTGGGGGTGGAGCCTACTTAAAATAAAATAAAATAAAATAAAATAAAATAAAATAAAATACAATAAAATAAAGTCAAATAGTGGTGAAATACACATAACATAAAATTTATCTTAATCATTTTTAAATAGACAATTCAATAGTATAAATACACTCATGTTTTGTGCAACCAGTCTACAGAACTTTTCATCTTGCAAAACCGAAACTCTGCACCCATTAAACAATAACTCCCCATTCCTTCTGCCCCCAGCCCCTGACAACCTCCATTTTACTTTCTGTCTCTGTAAATTAGGCGACTCTAGATACCTCGCGTAAGTGGCATCATACAGTTTTGTCTTCTTGTGACTGGCTTCTTTCACTTAGCTTAATGTCCTCAAGGTTAAATCAAGTTATACCACGTGCCAGGATGTCTTTCTTTTTTTAAGGCTGAGTAATATTCCTATAGTTAAATTTTAATAAGTCATTGATGACTGAAAATTTGTTGCTCAATTAATAGATCTGCAGTGAATTAATTGTGGAAGGAAGCAAGAAAGGTTATATTGAAGATGATGTATTCGATATTCCCTTTCATTGTGTGTCCAGTGTGGGGTCCACGACCTGAATAAAAGAAAACTCCCACCAGCTAAACAGCCTCTACCATACGTCTCCCTTGTAGCTCAAGGGCGGAGAGGGAAATTGCTGCCATCGAACCTCCAGTGACAACATCTGGTTGAATGTCGCATGGTTCACAAACTCACGGGCCATGGAAATCAGGAATGGGCCAGTTATTCTTGTGGGTCCTTTGGTGCTAGT